GGGCCGCCTGCCCCCGCAGCGGCTTCGAGGGACGCCGCCCGAGGATCGCCGCGGCCTCGATGTCCCCCACGCCCTCCCTGTCCAGTGTCTGGGAGCCCCGTGAAGGCCGAACGGGCAGGGGCTGCGGCGACGCGGGCGGGAGCCGGGGGCCGAGAGGCCGGCGGAGGGGCTGCCCGCGCGCTCCGAAGGCTGGAAGCGCTCTCCCTCGCCTCAGCCCGGTGGGGAGGCGTCCCTCGCTCCCGTCATGGCTGCGGGAGGAGACGACGTCCTCCATCTTGTCGGGGCCGCAGGGGGAACTCGGGGCAACTCCGACTCGTCCCGGCCCGGGCTGGGCCCCGCCGCCCGGACGCGAGGACGGCGCCCTCTGCCGGCGACGGGGCCCGGGCCGGATGCCGCTCCCGCCTCCGCTGGCCAAGATGGAGGCGGCTGCGGGTCCACGAGTGGGGCGCCCGCCTGTCGGAAGGGCTGGGCCGGCCCCCGGGCCTCTGCCCTCGTCGATCCCCAGGCGGACGAGGCCCCGGGCCGGCTCCGCGGCGGGAGGGAGCGCAGGTGCGGGCCGGGCTGGGCCGGGTCAGGCGAGCTCCGACCAAGGAGCCACCGGGGCGGCAGGGCTCGGCTTTTGTTCGCCGTCTACACCTATGTCCCGGGCGCACATCACGGGCTGTGCGGGTCCCGAGGTGTCACGTAGGAGGTGAGCGGGGAGGCCGCCCTGGCGGCAGTCGGTGGGACTGCAGCCGACGCTGTTGGTTTTAATAGAAGTTGGTGAAACACCATATGACCATGATTTCTGGAAATACGGCTAACATGATTTTCGTTCTTTTTTAAAAACAGATTGAGCCCCCTTTGATTATTTCTTCTGGAGAATGGTAAAGGCACAGGTTTACTGATTGACAGACTCAGATCAACGAAGACAAAAGCACTGTTAATGGATTGATGAGAGTCCCGTGTAATCTAAGTCCTGTGGTACTTACTGTACCATCAAGACCATCTTGATTCAGAAAATGCAGAAACACCCTTCATGATAAAACCACTCAACTAACTAGGAAGAGAAGGAAACTACCACCACAGAATAAAAGTCATGTATGAAAAACTTCAGCTAACATCATTCTCAATGGTAAAAGACTGAAAGCTTTTCCTCTAGGAACGGGAACAAGGCAAGCATGCCACTTTCACCACTACTATTAAACATAGTACTGGAAGTTCTAACCAGAGCAATTAGGTAAGAAAAAGAAAGGAAAGATATCCAAATTGAAAAGGGAGAAGTAAAATGATCTCTCTTTGCAGATCATATAATCTTACATACACAAAACCCTAAAGACTCCACAAACAGCTTTTAGAACTAACAAATGGGGACTTGCCTGGTGGTCCAGTGGTAAAGGATCCACCTTACAATGCACGGATCGCGGGTTCCATCCCTGGTCAGGGAACTAAGATCCCACATACCGAGGGGCAACTAAGCCTGCATGCCACAACTACTGAGCTTGCACGCCTCAACTAGGGGGCCTGTGTGCCACAAACTACAGAGCCCATGTGCCTTGGAGCCTGCAGGCCACAACTAGAGAGAAGCCCACGCCCCGCAATGAAGAGCCTGAATGCGGCAACAAAAGATCCCGCATGCCTCAACGAAGATCCCACGTGCCACAACGAAGACCCAATGCAGCCAAAAATAAATAAATAATTTTTAAAAAAACCCTAATAAATGAATTCAACAGAGTAACAGAATACGAACTCAAAACCCAAAAATCAGTTGCATTTCTGTACGCTAACAGTGAACAACCTGAAAAGGATATTAAGAAAACAATTCCAGGGAATTCCCTGGCAGTCCAGCGGTTAGAACTTGACGCTTTCACTGTGGTCGCCTGGGTTCAATCCTGGGTTGGGGAACTAAGATCCCGCAAGTGGCACAGTGCAGCCAAAACAACAACAACAAAAAAATAATTCCGTTTACAGTAGCATCAAACAGAATAAAATACCTAACTAACATAACCAAGTAGATGAAAGACTTATACAATGAAAACTACAAAACATTGCTGAAGTAAATTTAAAAAGACTTAAATAAATAGACATCCACAGATTGGAAGACTTAATATTGTTAAGATGTCAGTATTACCCAAAGCAATCTGTAGATTTAATGCAATCCTTATCAAAATCTCAGTGACATTTTTACAGAAATAGAAAAATCCATTCTGAAATTCATATGGAGTCTCAAGGGACTCCAAAGTGTCAAAACAATCTTGGAAAAGAAGAAAGCTGGATGACTGACACTTCCTGACTTCAAAACTTACTATAAAAGTTCAGTAATCAGACTTCCCTGGTGGCACAGTGGTTAAGAACCCACCTGCCAATGCAGGGGACATGGGTTCGAGCCCTGGTCCGGGAAGATCCCACATGCCGTGGAGCAACTAAGCCCGTGCGCCACAACTACTGAGCCTGTGCTCTAGAGCCCAAGAACCACAACTACTGAGGCCCACATGCCTAGAGCCCGTGCTCTGCAGCAAGAGAAACCACTGCAATGAGAAGCCC